ATGATAGCAGTGTTCTGATATCTCGGGGGTACTATAAAGAAGAGGGAGTCAAACTATTCTCCAAAGCACCTGAGGATAGAACAAGAAGCAATGGGTGGAAACTAATCAAGGAGAGAAGCAACTTAGAACTAAGGAGAAATTTACTGATAGTTAGAACAATTAATCAGTGGAACAACTTGCCTTCAGAGGTTGTGAATGCTCCAACACTAGAAGTTTTAAAGAAGAAACAATCATTTGTCTGTAGGGTTTCCTGCCTAAGCAGGGGGTTGTACTAGAAGACCTCCAAGACTTCCAACTCTGTTATTCTGTTTTGTTCTAAAAATGCCAACAATATTTAAAATCTAGAAGCTTAATAACGGAATTCACAGATTAAGCTTTATTGTTTGATCTTACTGTTATTTGAATTCAACAATTGTATTCAGATAACACTAAAATCAAACAATAAAGCTTAATCAAAATCTTAAAGCTTAATCTGTGAATTCAGTTATTTACAGATTATAGTACCTGGTTTATAGGCTACTGAAAATTCACAGCATAGATATGGTCCCCCAAAACCTCTTTGAATGCTTAGAGCTGAATAGTAAGTAATTTTTGGTGATGTGATTTTCCCCCCTATTTAGAAATAATATAGAAATAAATGCTTTTAACTTGTATACCTAATGGATATATTTTGCTTTGAGCACTTCCCCAAAACATTAAAACAGTCCCCAAGTGTGTTGAGGAACGTAAATCTGTTTGTTGCCTTGGGTGATGTCATCATATCATGACACTGATTGAGATTCTCAAAAACTATGGCTCTGATCACAAAAAGGCCGCCCACATTGGTTTAATGCATTGTTCAAGTCTAAACAGTTGTTATTTCTTCAAAAACTATGGTTAAATAAATTATAGTTTAGTGCAATGTGAAAATGACGTCAAGAATAAATGATCTAGCTTAAGTCTGTACGTTTTTTATCACAGTCTTTACATAGAAGAGTTTTTAGAGATGTAGCTAAAATATTGTTTCAGGTGATTTTTTCCCCAGTAGGAATTGATCACTGTGGGCTGTGTAGCCCAAGGAAAAAACATGTTTTAGAGTGAATGGAGGCACATATATAACAACTTTCTATAACCTCATAAACCAGATGTAAATTTTCTTGGGAGTTGCACAGCAGCTGCAGAGGGGACATGATCCTGGAGAAAAAAATATAGCTGCTTTAAAGAATTGCAGATATGCTGTATTTGCACCTGCATGTGCTTCAAAGCATCTTAGCTGAAGCTCTGCAGAAACCCTGTGTGTTAAAATCTACAGAAGTGAAATCATGTAGCCACTGAATAACTAAATAATCCCGTCATAACTAAGGTGAAACTGACATAAAAGTAGTAAACTACTCCTATGTTAAATGGCAGCCCTGCAATTTTTGTTATTACTGATAAAGTCATAGTTAATGGATCAAAGAAAGCAGAATAACAATGTTCCACATTTTACTCTTGATAGTGCTTGTTTTAGTAAAAAAAGACAATGGCAAGCATGCTGGTCTTGCTTGATGATATGTAGATTAGTTTAGAAGTTAATAGAAACCTTCACAAGGTTACCTGCCCGTCTTTCAGATCCAAATGTAAGAGAAAATGAAGGAGCTGGGTGATCTATCAAATAAAAAAAATCCCACTGTGGCAACATATAAAACAAACGTTAAGATTGTTCTACAAGTATGAAGTCACAGGTGAACCTTGTTGCTGAAAAACTGTATATACCATATACTGTGCCACCTATTCAAGGCCTTGCAGTTGTCATTGCAGAGTGCTGTGTGTACATGTTGAGTATTGATCTCCACTTTAGGATTTTCGTAGAATAATTAACAGCCAATTTCTCTATATTGTGGGTGTCAAACTCGCTGTATCATGTTGCCGTCACATGATGTTTTTCCCATTCACGGAGCATACGGCCCACAGGCCACTAGTTTGACACCCCTGCTCTGTATGAAGTGAAACTATATAATAAAATGTATTGTAGATTACACCACTTCTAAAGACCACTCAAACACTAAATAGTATACAGTTTAGAAGTGAAATAGTCTTATCTTCATAATAATAGGAAAACAAAAAGAACTTAAACAACTCCTAAAGGGTAACTTAGTTTTATATTTCATATCAATCTTATTAATCCTCTAATTCCAATGAATACTTTTCTTATAACTATACAATTAACTTAATTAAGCAATTAAACCTCCTCTCCCTTTGAAAGCATAGTCTAGCAAACATATTCCTTTTGTCCAATGTTTAATTATAGGATCATCCGACATTTAATTGTTACAAATTATTAAATCAATCCAATAAATCAACTGAAATAAACAAATAATATTGCTTTATTTGATTTCCTGATTTGTCTTTGTTTTACGACCATTCATTCAGCAACTGACTGAGTGGCTTTGAGTGCATGGAGCCTCTAGGATCCGAGATTTTGTCATCCTTAGTTCAGAAGTTGTACTACCCTATTCAAACCCATTTCACATCTTAGGAGTTCTCCTGGATTCATGTCTGAGCATCGCTAGGACAATTTTAGCACAGCTCGTTTGTGCTTCAGTGGTGACATTTCCTGGATCATGACTCCCTGTGCTTAGTCACTCAAGCCATAGTCATCTCTCATCTGGACTACTGCAGTGCATTATACATGGGGATACCCTTGAAATCCATTTGGAAGCTTCAGCTGTTGCAAAGTGTGGCAGTGAGAGCAGTTTTTGAGGCCCCTAGGATGGCCCATATTATATCTCTGCTCTGCAAACTTCACTGGCTACTACCCACTGCAGTTCAAGGCAGTGGTGGAATTCAAATTTTTTTACTACTGGTTCTGTGGGCGTGGCTTGGTGGGCGTGGCAGGGAAAGGATACTGCAAAATCCCCATTCCCTCCCCACTCTTGGGGCCAGCCAGAGATGGTATTTACCAGTTCTCCGAACTACTCGAAATTTCCACTACCGGTTCTCCAGAACCTGTCAGAACCTGCTGAATAGCACCCCTGGTTCAAGGTGTTGGTTATATGATGTCATAGGTCCAGGCTACCTGATGAACTGTCTTGTTGTCCTATTAGCACAGACCCATCCTACTCATGCTGGCAGAAAGGACCTACTGTGGATCCTGTTGTCAAAGAACTCCAACTATTGGGATTCAGAAGAAGAGACTTCTCTCCTGCAGCACCCACCCTTTGTAACATCTTGCCCTCCAGGGTAAGATCTGCTCCCAACCTCCTATCCTTCTGCAAGAGCCTGAAGACCTGGCTCTGCTGATTGGGCTGGGTTCCACACTGGAGGTGGCTGCTGGATTGATGGCTGACTCCACCTCCCACCCCTTTCTGATTTCCACCCATCCACTTCTTTGGTTGTCATATTGGTGTATTCTGATTTTTTTCTTTTTCATTGTCTATTTCATTGTTCTATTTTACTTCAGTTTTGTTTACATTCTTATAATTTGTTCCTTTTTATTGTTGTAAGACGCCTAGAGTAGTCCTATGGTGAGATAGGTGGCAAATAATGTAACAACAATCTGGCTGATTGTGCAACAAACTGGAATTATTCAAAATTACAACAGCACTAAACAAAAGGACATACAACTCCTTCCTGAAGTTCCAACTGTCACAGTCCTTCTGCTGTCATGTGGCAAAACTTGGGGTGCTTGGCAATGTGCCTGCCCTCATGAACACAGAAGCACTGCAATTTCCCCCCATGAGCTGGGAGGCCTTGACTTGCTAGGTCCACTAGCACATCAGCCTTCCCCCTGCCCCACCACTCCCCAAGGCCTAAATATTTTCTCTCTCCAGTTGCTCAGCTCCACTATCTTTGCTTTTTGTACAATTGTTGACAAGAGCACCCTGCCAATACAAAGTATAGTGACTGCAGAAAGCTAGCCAACACAATGTTTTCAGAAATAGAGGCTCAGAATATTGCAAGGACTGGTGTTGGCTAGCTTTCTGCAGTACATGCGCATCTCATTGGCTGGGCATGTTTGTCAGCAGCTACCTGAAAAGGTAAGGGAACTGCCCAACTGGATGTTGAGAAGTCCCAAGCCTTTCAAGAAAGTGGTGTGGTGGGGGAAAGGCCCAAAACTTCTGGGAAAGATGGGGTGGGTGGATGCCCCATGTGCTGGTTAGATTGCTAACCATGGGCTCCTAACCCACAGTAAACTTCCATGTACCGGAAGGCATAGCCGGTCAAGACCTCCTGGCCTGTGGCAGGTTTCTGTTGGTGGATCTAGCTGGCTGAGGCCTTCTGGTCTGCAGCAGGTTTCTGCACATGACATGGAGGGTACTGGCCTCCCAGAGCCTTTCTCACCTCAAGGCACTCTGTGCAGTTGTTTAACAACTGCAATAGGGAAAGCTGGGGATGTGATTGTTGAATGAGATGGTCACATGAGCACCTTGTTTAACAATTGCAATGTCTTATGACCCAAATTGTGGGCACAATTGTTCTTGTAAGTCTATCTATATCAGTTCATTCTTGATTATCATACAGAGATTGTAAATGTATATACAATTATTCTTACCTCTTTAAACAACCTCATTTTTAGCACAAAATGTTCTGTTCAGTTTTTCATATTATTTGGGATTTTGTATAAAATCAGTTTAGAGTTTCCTTACTTTAATTCAATAAAAAAGAAATAGATTAAGTGAAGATTATACTTTTTTGAAATAGAAATCCCTGAAAAAGAAAATGTAATGATTCAAAAAACTCTTAGGTTTATACCGCAAACCACTACATTTGTGGGTACATTTTGTTATTTGTTATTTGTGGAAAGTTTTCCTAAGTATAACACTAAATTTTGCTGTCAATCATCTTGCAAAGAATGTAATTCTTAGGACCTTGTGTCTATGTGTACTGAAACATTTATGGCCTTCCACTATTAATGGAAAATGGCTTTTGAGCTTCTGATACTAAGCATTGCTCATAAGCCATTGTTTGAATGTTCTCACAGCCAAAGAAAACTGTAATATTAAAGTAATTCTCATATCCTGAATTGTCCTACTGGTTACCTTGGAAGCTGCCATTACAGCAGCTGTGGCTGCAACATTTAGCCCCCGTTTCCCAAAATGCACCAGGGCATCATAGCTGCGATCTTTTGCTTGGACTAAGCAATCATCTATTTCCTGTCAAAAAGAAAAAAAAATCCACAATCAAACTCAAAAGAGTTCAAATAAATTTGTCTTTTTCTTACTTATCAAAAGGAAGATGTTTCCATGCCTGCCCTGTATATACGTAGATCAAAACAGTTTAAACAGGGTATGATTTACGTAATCATCTACCTTTCTCACTGATATAACAATTATATGAGAGGAGTTTGTGATAATTTTATAATAAAGAAATATGCAAATTTGGGAAACTGAAGTTTCTTCCACTCCACTTTCAGGATGATCCCTAAGTCATAATTTGTTAGCTTTGGGCTTAATATGTTACACAAACCAAACCACTGTAATTTGGTGACCGTACTTTATTACTTAATATAATATATCGATCTACTTGGAGAAATAAAATGAATAAGTATTCAGCTCTCCCTATTCACGTGATCTTTTTAACAGAAAAATAGGGATATAAACTTACAATGTAGATCCTAATTAGAGGTCCTAATTAAAAACTCCAAAACTATTTTAGATCCTTAGGGAACATGTGACTCCAATATAGATACTCAGGAGGTTGCTTAACACTCATTCTGAGGAAGAATAATCCACAAATTATATCCCAGAGACAAGCACTATATAAAAGTGCTGCTAGGTAAATTACTTTCCAAAAGGGTGGTTATATAAATCATGGCAAGTCACCACTTCTTTAATCATTGTCTGATAACTAAATCTAATTAGCTGAATTCACACAATACACTAAGCCAAAACAAAACCAGCAATTTATTTACCATCAACTTGCTAACTTTTGCAACCTCTATTTGCTGGTGACAAATGTGGGAAGACTATCATTGCTCTGTCAATGTGCAGATTGCTGAATTAAAAGGAATGAAGGATAATGAAGTGGTACATGAGCTCTTGGTAGTCTTTTCTATTTTGGTGTCATAGTGTATTGGATTGTAACTCCCATATTTCCCATCTGGATAGGAATTAAAGAAGCTGTAGCTCAATGTAATATACTTGAAAAATACCAGGTTGGAAAAATTTAAAAATTAAAAATCTATTTCTCATGTCAGCTGTTCTTCAAGATTTCTAACTCACTGCTCCAATTGCCTTTGAAACACTTGTAATTTTTTTTTCTATAGAGCCAATAGCTTAAATCATTTATTACACTGACAGTCATCCCAGTGGGGAACTGCATTTTTTTAGTTCTTATCTGTAAAAACAGTCAATCAAGAAAAAAAGAGTAACACCTACTGAAATGAAACTCTTCTTCCTGAAAGGAATGCAAAAAGTGTAAGTAATATTATACAATCAGTAGTGCTATCCTACAACTGATTCAATAGTTGTTACTCAGTTTGAAGATTAATGGTTAATGGTGTCACAGGCTAAGGATATTCTAATTCATAATCTTATCTTCCTTTATGAGAAATAATGCCACTGACCTTTTCTTTTGAAGATAAAGTTGGGTGTACAAATTTCCTATATAGAAGACTGGAGCCCTTTGTGTATGGAGACAACAGCCAAGCTACAAAGGCTATTTTGAGTTCATAATAAAATGGGAACCTACAGAAAAAAATATATATTTTGGTGTTCTTTTCAAATCAAATTCCCTGAGAATTTACTAAGAAAGTAAATTTATAAAAGTTTGAATGTGTGCATTGATGTTGGCATCCAAAAATATTTCCCCTTGCATTTTGGCTTTTGCTAATGTCTTTAAGTGCATCTTCATGAATAACAAAGTCAGGAGTCCCACTCACAAACCCATGTCCAATCCCTTCACCAATACAATGAAGAAGACCATAACAGGTATCTATCCTCTCTTCTATTTGAGAATGCCATGTGAAGTTTCACTGCTCATTCATTCCTAAGTACAGTAGAATTATTTCCTATCAATGGTTGTTTCCATCCTATTTTATCCCTTGACAACTTGCACAAATATTCAGTCCAGATTAATACACTCAGCCTGTTTCATGGTAGCAATATTCAGTTCCACATTTCTTACAGGAAAAAAGTTCTAGAAGAGCAAAAGCGAACAGAGTCTCATATATCCTGATGTTCAGTTAAGCAAAGGCAATTGTGCAAGATTACAATGATCTGAATACTTGACCCTCAAATGACACCTGAGTACTGATAACAAATGAGCAGGAAATTATAGGTTTGGTTTATTTGGTATACAGCTAGATGATACACCTTTCCCACAATTCCACCAATAAATGTACTGTTGTAGTTCTCATAAAGTTAGTTTGTTTGTATATAAAATTTATTGGCCATCCATCTTACCACAGGGTAACTCTGTGGCTTAAATATGCAGATTAAAAAATGACATGCAAATTATTCATGCGTGAGAATTTATTTTGCTTTTTTCTCTAATATTCCTGTCCTTATCTTTCTTCCTATAACCCCACTCTCGTCTTCATATTCTTCCTGTATTTTCTTTTATGCATCTATTTAGGACTTTCCCTGGCCCAATTTTAATATAGGAAGTGAGCAACCATTCTAAATTCCTGGGAATTTAGAAACATTCTCTGTGCTCTAGTTATGTTTTAGTGTATCTGCATTCAAAGATATACGTCTATGTTGTGTTTATCAGCAGGAAAATTCAGGATTGAGCCATTTTGCAAACCCTGACATGCTTAATTTGAACAATGAGCCCACATCTACCATTTTCTTCCTTTGGGTCCTTCTCAACCTCTTTCATCTACCTGCCCTTTTAAATTGTGGAAGGATTTTTACTATCATATGCTTTTTACTATTGCATATGCTTTCATCCTTGAGAAGATGTTTCTTCTTTCTTTGCTTTCCTATTGTAACACAAATAACATAGTTGTCCAACCCCAAAAGATTTTATTGATATCTTCCCCATATACATGCCAGAACTGCATCTTCATAACGTACGTCCTCCCAAGATTTGTAATTTTTCCCAATAAATAGGCAGTAGTTCTATATAAACCACAAGTTTCTCAAGGATGCTAATGATTGTTATGTTTACAATATTCCCCTTCAAAGTGGGATTCTAGAGAACAACAATCAATAACACCAACAATCACACTTGGCATTCCTGAAAAAAAGTGCCAAGCTTCCAGGACAGGTATTCTACCCACCTAATATCATTGGGTGCCTAATACTAGTGTATGCCTGTGTGTTGCCATGCTCTGTTCTACTTTTCTTCTGAAGAAAAACATATTTCAAAGGATACCAACCAGCAAAGAAAAATGTCTGTGAATGTCTCTGCTGTCGTGAAGAGTGCAAATATGATCCAGTACATCATCCATTTCACCTGAAAAGAAAGCATAATTAAAAATTTATCTCATATTTCCAAATAATACAGGTGCTATTTTCTTCCTTCCTAGTACTAAGGCCAGACTTACTAATAGCCATGGTGAGATAGTACTACTTCAAATAACAGATTCATATACTCAATAGTAAAAGCAGAACCAAATTTATTTATTTATTAATTTTTCAACCAATGTTTGTGTGGAAGATAAAAATGACTTGGCAATTTTCTATTCAGGAAACAAATGGTTTATTTAAGGATCATGTAGCAGAAGTAATTCTGATACAGTATAAAAGCAGTTATAAAAGTTATTCCGAATCTATTTTCTAGCAGTTCTCACTGTTTAAAATTACATTTTCCATTACAAGCTATCTTCTTATTTCATAAAAAATTACAGGTGTTATCAGGTTTGGTAAATCCCAAGTTACTTTAGGCTGTTTCTTTGGCTTCATGATGAAAACAAATCTGGGATATTATTACAAAATAGTAATCACTACAATTATGGATGGAGATCTGTACAATTTCAAATAAAATGGGGCCCCATGCTGTGCTCCAGGTATAGTTGTATCTGCTGTATGTGCTTCAATGGCCCAGTATTGTGTCCTTAAATTAATCAGTAAAGAATGCATACTTTTAATTAGCCAGAATGTTTATTTTAGAAACAGGAAATATCAACCCACATACCAATCTTGTTTCTCCTGGTGTTGCGGCTAAACTGTAAGATAAGGTTAAATCATCTGCACATTAGCTAAAAAATTAAATTACCAATGAAAATGGAGGAGGGAGCATAGTAATGATTTGGCATACTGTAAGTACACTGGAAAAAAAATCACATCGGAAGCATGGAAGTTTTTTCTTCCTTCTAAAGAGCGGAGTAACAATTGTTAAAAGGGATACAGGATACTCCCAGAAATCCTACTTACATATTCTTTAATATCCTTTGATTTTACAGCTTTGTAAGAGTAATAGGCAGGATAAAGAGTGCCAAATATTAGCCTGAAAGAAAAATGAAAAAAAAAAAAGTCACAGGAAATACTATGGGCTGGAGCCAGAGTATGATGATTAGATTTGATTCTATAAAATTGGTAGCATTTATGATTTAAAAAACCCTTGTTCTCTTGATTTTAATAGGATCTAATTCAAATAACTTTGAGTGATTTCTTCATTATTTGTTTAATATTTTTTTTTCTGAATGAAATTTTTCAGTTGTTCACCCAAGAAAAATATAAATTTAAATAACACTTTTATTAATATTATTTATAATATTAATATTATTATTAATAAATATTATTTAAATAATATTTAAAATCTGCCTTCCCAGTTAAAATACAGATTTACAACAAGATCTGCCTGAACCAATAGTACATTTATTTCTTTTTTTCTCATTTTTTTAAATTTTAAATTTTTTTAAATTTTATTTTTACGATTTAAATTTTATTTTTTAACATTTACCAAAAATTTACAAAAAATGCAAAATAGAAAAACAGGAAAAGAAATATATGAACAACAATAAAAATACAGCTACTCAATTTAGCAATAACAACAAAAGAACAACAGATATGGTTGGACACCCAGAATGACTTCTCACAACTGAAAAGATAAGTTAAGAGCCTCAATACTCAATGAATTGAAATCTGATGTTGTACCCAACCTATGAATGAGTTGCTTATAGATATAGATTATATATTGATGATTATAATAAAATATTGTAGAAAACTTTCTAATCCAACCCCCTGCTTAAGTAGGAAACCTACACCATTTCGGAAAAGTGGCTATCCAGTCTCTTCTTAAAAACCTCCAGTTTTTACATTTCTCCTTAGTTCTAGGTTGCTTCTCTCCTTGATTAGTTTCCATCCATTCCTTCTTGTCCTACCTTCTGATGCTTTGGAGAATAGGTTGACTCTCCCCCCACCCTCTTCTTTGTGGTAGTCCCTCAAATATTGGAACATTGCTATCTTGTCACCCCTGGTCCTTCTTTTCATTAAAACAGACATACCCAATTCCTGCAACTGTACTTCATATGTTTTAGCATCCAGTTCCCAAGCAATAATCCTATACATACAAACCTTTATATGCATATAATACAGTGGTGGGATTCAACCAGTTTGCACCACTTTGGCTAAACCGGTTGTTAAATTGCTGGCTGGCCCTGCCCCTCACTCCTTATCTCATCCCGCCCACCTTGACTGATGCCTACAGTCACGCTTGCGGCATAGATGCTGCTGCTCTCTGGTTACCCCACTTGCCTCAACCGCAGCCCCCCGCAGCCCAGCTGATCTCTGCCTGCTGAGTCTTCCTCCCTTAGCTGCCTCTCACACAGAGGTGGGTGTGGGCTCCAGCCAGTTTGGACCTTGTTAACTTTTTTGCCTAGTTCAGCGAACCAGTTGATACCACCACTGGCTGTCCCAGCCCCCACCCCACCTGGCCCCTCCCAACCACTCTTTATTTTGCCTTGGCCTCTCGCCTAAAGTGATGCCTGCAGCTCAGCTGCTCTCTGCTTCCTTGCCCAGGCCCAGACTTAGAACTGCAGCACCATCTTGGTCCCGTCCCTAGGCATGCGCACAAGAGGTGGAGAGCGTTCAGGGCCTGGAGATTGGTGTCCCTGGGGACTACTTGCTGAGTGCTGCCCCTCATGTGCTTAGAGCCCAGAGGGCGGGGCCGAAACACAAGCCCAGGGGGCGGGGCCAAAGCGGCAGCATGGATCTAAGGCTGGCCGTGGGTGGCACTGGCACCTCCTGTCCCCTCTTGCTGGCCTTTCCCTGGGTTCGCCCCACCCCCGCATGGGAAAGCCATATCCCTACCTGTGCATGGAGGAAGCAAGAGGTGGAAAGGAGAGGGCATGGGACCCAGAGCAGGGGCTTATGCCTGCCTTCTGCAGAGGATTGGTGAGGGGCCATTTGAACAAATGACAGTTTTTGATACCTATGTGTGTGATTTACACAAAAGCATGGACCTTTATGCTGGCTGTGGTTGAACTGAGACACATGAGAGGTATTGGAACAATGTTTCTAGTTGAGCAATGTTGTTCACGATACGTCTTAATGTTTTATACTATTGTGGTATTTAATCTGATTTTATATTTTTGTTGTTGTTAGTTGAGAAGTTGTGTCCGATCCATTGTGACCCCATGGACAACGTTCCTCCAGGCCTTCCTGTCCACTACCATCCTCTGGAGTCCATTTAAGTTCATGCCTACTGCTTCAGTGATTCCATTCAGCCACCTCATTCTCTGTCGTCCGCTTCTTCTTTTGCCCTCAATCATTCCCAGCATTAGGCTCTTCTCCAGTGAGTCCTTCCTTCTCATTAGGTAGCCAAAGTATTTGAGTTTCATCTTCAGGATCTGGCCTTCTAAAGAGCAGTCAGGGTTGATCTCCTCTAGGACTGACCGGTTTGACCGCCTTGCAGTCCAGGAGTCTTCTCCAGCACCATAGTTCAAAGTCAATTCTTTGGCGCTCAGCCTTTCTTATGGTCCAACTTTCACAGCCATACATTGCAACTGGAAAAACCATAGCCTTGGCTATACACACTTAAGGGCCACCATTTTAATGTGTTTGTTGTATTGCTGTCTGTAGTTGTGGTTTAATTTAATTTTATTTTAAGGACTATTTTAATGTGCACACTGTATTACAGTCTAAATGTTTATTGCATTGGTGCTTGTTGCTATTATCTGTAGTTGTTGCTGGATTTTATTTTAAGGACCACTATTTTAATGTGCTTGCTGTGTCACTGTCTATATGTTATTGTTTATATGTTTATTGCACTGGTGCTTGTTTTTACCTGTAATTGCTGTTTAATTTGATTTTGTCTTAACAGCCATTATTTTAATTAAAGTCCTTAACTGCCTCTGAGTTGTGTTGGAGAGCCTAGGCCAGGCAGGCCGGTCATCTGGGGAAAGGGATAGAGGGGCTCAATTGCTAATAGCCCCTTCAGGGAAGCCTTACATTTGTTATCATATTTTCAAACTACCCCTATTTTACAATTAATGATGTACAAGTATGGAAAACAGATGGCAGCATATTATGCTAAGTATTGAGAAGACAGATATTAATAAATATAAAACAAAGGATATTTTTTTCTTAAAATATTGATTTGTCCAAAATGATACAGAAGATTTATGGTATGGTAGTAAACTATTAAATCCCAACCAAACAGAAAAATCCATTTAAAACATTTGTTTAAAATAACGGACTTTTGTGTCGATCAGAATAGATTTGGAAGGGACCTTGGAGGTCTTCTAGTCCAATCTCCTACTCAAGCAGGAGACCTTATACCAATGATGGCTTTTTGTCCTTGTGTGCCTAAAGTGCATGTGCGTGTGCCCACACCCATAATACAATGCACCCCCCCTGCATATGTGCATGCCACCCCATGCACGCGCGGCCCCCACCCCCGCACATGCATGCGTGACCCCTCCGCACTCTGTTTTGAGCCTAGCAGGCCCCCCTATACATGCCTACGCTGTCACAGGTGTTATGTCAGCCTTGTATGCATCTTTATTCCTCTCTAGCATTCATCTCCATTGTTCAGTGATGCATTTCCTGCCTCTCTAGGATTTACCTCTATCTGCTCCTGTGAGGCACTTCCTGTTCCTGTTGGATGTAGTTATATTCTCAATGGCTTGTATAGTGTTTTAACTGCATTTTGATTAAACAACAGTGCTGTAGAGACCCGAAAATTAGGTGGCCGGCGGGAGGCACATGTAGAGCTCAGCTGGGGCAAGGGCTTGTGTGCCGGCAGAGAGGCGGCACACGTGCCATAGGTTCACCATCACAGCCTTATATCATTCCAGGCAAGTGACTGTCCAGTCTCTTCTTAAAAACTTCCAGTGATGAAGCACCCACAACTTCTGAAGGCAAGCTGTTCCACTGATTAATTATTCTCACTGTTAGGAAGTTTCTTCTTAATTCCAGGTTGGTTCTCTCCTTGATTAGTTTCCATCCATTGTTTCTTGTCCTGCCGTCTGGTGCTTTGGAAAATAAGTTGGTGCCCTCTTCTTTGTGGCAGCCACTCAAATACTGGAATATTGCTATCATGTCCTTCTTTTCTCTAGACTAGCCATTCCCAATTCCTGCAACCGTTCTTCATATGTTTTTGTCTCCAGGCCTTTAATTATCTTAGTTACTTTTTCCAAAACCTTAACATCTTTTTTGTAATGTGGTGACTAAAACTGGATGCAATATTCCAGGTGTGGTCTTAGTAAGGATTTATAAAGCAGTATTAATACTTCATGTGATTTTGATTCTATACCTCTGTTTATACAACCAAGGATTATATTAGCTTCTTTGGCTGCTGCCACACACTGCTCGCTCATATTTAAGTGATCGTCCACTAGGACTCCAAGGTCTCTCTCACAGTTACTGTTTTTGAGCCAGGTTTTGCCTAATCTGTACTTGTACCTTTGGTTTTTCCTGCCTTGGTGTAAAAACTTGCTTTTCCATATTAAATTTCATTTTGTTGAATAGGACCCATTGTTCAAGTCTGTCAAGATCTTTTTGGATCTTGAACTTGTCTTCTAGGGTTTTGGCTATTCCGGCTAGCTTAGTGTCATCTGCAAATTTGATGAATTGACCTTCTATTCCCTCAACTAAGTCATTTATGGAGATATTGAAGATTACTGGGCCTAAGATGGAGCCTTGCGGTATCCTACTGCTTACTTTCCTCCATGTATTCATTGAGTACCATTTGTCAGCCAAATCCATCTGATGGTGGTGCTATCTATCCCACATTTTCTAGCTTACCAAGAAATAGGTTGTGGTCTACTTTGTTGAATGCCTTACTGAAATCTAAATCTAAATCTAAATCTCCAAAGCATTTCGCTGGGTCTACTAATTTAGTCTAATAGTCAAAGTGGTCTTTAGCAAATTGATTCCTTTTCTACCAAACAGAAAGAGTTTTTAAAATTTCTTACTCCCCTACCCCCCAATTTATTTATAATTTGGCATTCTTTGGCTTATTTTTCTCCTTTATGAACTTGGCTTCTTGCTTTTTTATCCTTA